CTTAAAAATATTCGTCGCTTAGTTAACGATTTGTCGAGTAGTTTACGGCAACAGTCTTCTATGCGATCCGAAAATCGTTGTACCATTTTAGAGAATAGCGAATATCGTTAAAAATATCGCTAAGTTTTCCTTGCGATCCGAAAATCGTTATACCAATTTAGAGAATAGCGATTATCGTTAAAAATATCGCTAAGTCTAATTTGCGATCCGAAAATCGTTATACTGTGCTTAGAAATAGCAAAATCATAAAATTATCGTTAAGTCATTATAACGCTCCGAAAATCGTTCTAATACGATAGAGAATTCCCCTACAGAAGGGAACATCTAATCCACTACTGAAAAAAAAAAAATCCGTTAGAAATAGGCTGCGCTGTGGCAGTACCAACATCAATATTAGAGGTGAGCCCCTATTAGAACTCAGTGAAGTAATGATCTTCACGTCGTCAACGTGAGGTGTACAATCACCTTCGTTATTAGGAATATCAAAGAAGGGCTAGATATAACAGTAGAAAATACTTGGACTGAAAATATGATCTGACAGTGGAGGACTATACAATTATCCCTAGAATCTTAGTCGAGACTAGTAAAACAAAAAGAAACCCTAGAAAAACTGAACGGACAAAATACATTTACTATTGGACTTAACACTGAAGAAATAACAAACAAAGCAAGAGTTAGAACAGAAAGCAGCATATTTGAATAGTAGCAATGTTGAATCAAATGTGAAAATATTCAAGAGAAGAAGATAAATAAAAGTTGCATCTTTCTTTTCACAAACATAGTGTTTTTATTTTAGAAATATTAAAAACCGCGAAGCGAACGAAAAATTGCAAGTGTAAAACAAAACGGAAAAGAGACAAAAATGAAGAAGAAGCAAATGTCAAAAAAATTGCTTGAAGAAAGCGTCTCTGTATGAACGTGAAGGGCGACACAAAAAAGAAAATACGTTAATAAGCGACAAAAGTATTCACTTGTAGACTCAGTCTAACCAACAAACGAATGCTTCGTCGACAAAAATTATTAATCTCAGATAAACGAGTGTTTTGCTGCAACTACCCACCTTACATACCTGCCGTCCATAGCAACATATCTTATGAGAGCTCATTTCTCGTTGCTATATGGTCTTATCAAAGTAATATTAAATAATCGAAGATAATGCGTAGTTTTTTTTCTTAAGAAATGAAAACTAAATTCGTAGCTAATTATTTGTTACCACATAGATCACATATATTTGATTGGCGTTTATATTTGAACATATAAATTATGAGATTCGTTGACAAAAATTATAAATTTGTTCAACGGTGTGCAAACACACTGGCGGTTGGCAATATTTCGCCGTTCTCAGTATCGTCGATAACTCGTGTATGTATCTCGCTCTTTTGTACGGAAGGTAAATAACATGGGTAGTTGCCACATTTAGCGACCGAAGGTATCGCCGTGTAAACTTATGTTGCGAAAATGCGAGGTGAATGTCAGATGAAAGAGAGAAGCCGATAACTAGTACATTCTAGACACGATAAAACAAGAACCTTCCATAGCGAACAACTCGATGCTTCTACGCTTTCGTCTGCGAACAGCCTACTGCTATATAAGGGCGACACTCAGCTACAAGTTAAGTTAGTTACAAAGTTAACTGGTTGGCGTGAACATCAGTAAAGTCGGAAAGTAAACGCGTTGGAGATCACATTTAAGTAAAGTAAATTGTGAAAGTTGATGCTAGTGATTGTAAATAGCAAAGTGCATTATAATTGAATTGTTAATTATTGAGGAAATAAAGGACATTAGATTAATTCTTTATAACGAAAGAAACTGCAAATTAAGTTGGTGAGTTTTATTTAACAATCCAGAGATCGTACCCGAAGGATTC